ATATACTATAAAGAATTCTGTGATCCTATGTCCCCTATAGTGTTATTTACATCTTCAAGATATGGAAATAACCAAAGTCTCTCTGCATGAATGAATGAATGAGTTAGGAAAGTTAAACTGATACGGATGATATAGACACTGGAATATAATTCAATCTTAGAGAAGAAAGAAATCTTGATATTTAATTCAACATAGATAAGCTTAAAGGACATTGTACCAAAGGAAATAAGGTAAAAACATAAAACATCACGATTGTACTTATAAGCATATATATAGAATGGAAAAGATTAAATAATAGAAAAATGGTTTTTAGAAGTGAGAAAGTGGACAAGAAATGAAATATAAGTCAGAGTTTGCAAAGTAGCAGAAATGAGTCTAGAAATCTAATGTACAAGTTGGGGTTTATAGGTAATAAAATTGTGCATATATGAGATTACTACTAAATTTAAAATTTTGTTCATCTGCTTCATTATATAAGCTTAAGCACATTAATAATAATCTCAAAATCACCAATAACTCATCAGTGTTGCATTAAGGACAGAAGTCAAAAAAGCACTTCTCATTGGTGTCATTTGATCAGAGCGAGCCTACATTTGAATTCTCTACTTTGCTCTTCTTGTGTCTTCCACCATTTCTACTAAAGGGCTTCGGATGTGTATTTCTTGAACAGCACAGAAAGCACTGCATGAATAGGGATACTTTACAAAATCTTTAACAGAGTTTTACAAAGTATTAAGTTACTAACTCAAACTGACCCAACTGACCCAGATAGTTAATAAACAAACCAATGTCTTCAAGCAATATCCATATGTTTCATTCAATATTTATGGTGCTTTGCTATGTCATGAGCCACAAGTTACTTTGTGATTCATAGCTTTAAAAATACAGATCACAACACACATATTTGAAGGAATATACAGAGTGTATACTTCCCAACAAAGGAGCTTCATTATCCTGAGTTCTCCTTTGTTTAACTCTGTTATATTTCATGAACTCTTCCTCCTCATTAGCAGACCGGCTACTTTTGCTCGTGTAACAGATAGAAACTACTGCCATGTTACTATTGATGTGCAGTGCTTAGAAACATCCAGTACTGCAGTCACAGTCACTACAAAGCACACTTTCAAGGATTTCTGAGAGCAATGTGCACCTCATCTATGTAAACAAGAGTACATGCTGGGAACAGATGTGGGAATCTAGCTTCTCAGTTTAGCAGTCGGTTCATGGCTGGGAATTACAACTACCTTGGAAATTTATAGAAGTTTCACATAGTTATGGATGGATTTTATATCATCCTCCCCCACACACAGCCATTGTAGGTATAGCTTGGTAATGATAGTATACCAAAGTACTGCAATCCAGAAAATATAAGCAAGATTGAGTAAACAAATGGAATTTGTAGAGAAAATCAATTATAAAGATAAGGAGAGAGCTAATACGCAAAACAGAAGACACTGGGATTACCAGAAACCTACAGCTGCAAGTCATCACCACCCCTAAGCTAAAAGAACAAAATACATGACATCATCATCAGAGCTCAGCAGGCTGTCAAGCTCCAGATGACAGAGATGCAGCTGCTGATAGAAACACTGAAAAGTCAAGGACCAGGATCAGGGCAAGTACCCTGCATTTTCCTACTATGCACGACAGAGAAACCCTGTCTCGAAAAACAAACCAACACAAAAGAGATCCCAACTGGGAAGTTTTAAATGACTTCATGTACCTCATGTCATTTCCCTGTTTTAGCCTTCCATGTGCTCTATGTGCTATGATTATGAAATAATGAAGTGTAGCACTCTGTGTCAAGCACAAATCCTTAAAAGAGAGCCTATTTTTTAAATAGAGAGACACAAAAGAGGTGGCCTTTCTGTCTTTTGTTTGTTATAACTACTGGTTCTGCTTTGACTAGAAAAATGATTTAGCAAATTAATCTATTTCATGTCTAACTTTTATTGTAAATGAAGGCTTTCTGTGCCACCGAGTCCCACAGCCACTTTTAAAATAACCACTCAGAGGTTTAATATTAATTATAAATGTTTGGCCAATAGCTCAGGCTTATTACTAGCTACCTCTTACATTTAAATTAATTTTCTATTAATCTAAGTATTGCCACATGGCTGTGGCATTACCAGTCTATTGGAATGTTTTTCCTTGGAGAGCAGAATGGAGCCAGACTCTGACCTTCTTTTCTGTATCTCTGCATAGATTTCTATACCTGGCTCAATCATAGGCCAAAGAAACTTTATTGAAAGCAATGCATATTCACAATGTACAGAAAGATATCTCACAGCATTTTATGAAAGGGATACCCTCCTTCCACCTAAATAAATTTCAAGTAGATCTAAAAAGTAGAAGTGTGCACTCATTTGTCTGTGATGGACCGACCCTTGTTGTCTTCATGTAGCCCTGGTCCTGGTATTGACATTGTTGAACCCTTGCTTAAGTTTTTTTCAGGTGTATTTTCTCTTTTGAGCACTTGTTGCATGATACGTAGAACTGAAGTGTCAAAACACTGTTCTGACTCTGGGACTTTTTATTCTTTTCAGGTGGTAAGGAAAATACAGAGACCTCCCCCCAAGTCTGGACACCTGTCTGGAGGAAAGATACATTGAGAAGCTGCCAAGTCAGCTTAGAAGGGTTCTGAATCTGTGTAAAGGCTCTGGCAAGAGACATACTATGGAGAAAGTCCAATAATAATCTTTACAAACCAAAATGTTGTAATTTTAATAAATTACCTAATAACTTTTAATTCTGAAATTATTTATTAGAAACCAAAGCATACCTGTAGACATTGGGCTCCTGAATATTGGTTGTATACACGAGCTGCACCTAAGACATACATGACAGAAAAAAGCGAAGAATGACATGTTTATTAGAATGTTGTTGCTTATCAAAAACAGAGAGGGAGGAGGTTTTTAGTTTCCAAAGGAGATAACTAGAATGGCATAGGGGTGCACACTTGTAATTCAAGCTACTTGGGAGGCTGAGGAGAAGCATGAGTAGGAGATTAGTCTGGAAACAACATCAAGACCTTGTCTCAAAGCTAATAATAATAATAAGCAATAAAAGTAATAACTCATATATTGTTTAAGTGTTTCCAAAGGCAGGATTATCTTCTATCATGCAGAGCAAAACCAAATTATAAACAGAAGTTGGCGCCTGAACAAGTACTACCCTCCCTGCCTTAAAAACAAAGCTATAAAGAGATGTATCATCCTCAGATAGGAAGCATAAAATATGATGGCTCGGGGAAAAGCACTTTAAACACAAGGGTGCCTAGGGGAAGACTGTAACACAAACTTGCCTTAAGAAAGGTAATAATGAGGTCTCAGTAGTCCTCCTTGTCCGCTATGTTCAGCGAGACCAGTTTTGACCCAGGCTTTTTCAGATTGGTTTCGTGGGAGCCTAGGCAGATTCGTGGATGCTCACCTTACTAGACCTGGATGGAGGTGGGTGGTCCTTGGACTTCCCACAGGGCAGAGAACCCTGATTGCTTTTTGGGCTGACGAGGGAGGGGGACTTGATTGGGGGAGGGGGAGGGAAAGGGGAGGCGGCGGTGGGGAAGAGACAGAAATCTTTAATAAATAAATTAAAAAAAAAAGAAAGGTAATAATGTAGCAACCAAAGATGTGGCTAGACAGAGATTCATCTATTTATTCACTGAACAGATACTTACTGAGTAACTGACATATTCCAGGGTTAAGATATTATCCCCAAATCCACAAAATAAAACAATCACAGTAAAACCAAATGATCTGGGGAATGTAAATGGAGGAGTATTTACCTATCATCCACAAGGCCCTGGATTCTAATCCTAGCACTGTATAAACCTGGTGTTGTGGTGTAATACTGGTATGCCAACACTTGGGAGCTGAACACAGGATCAAGAATTTAAACTCATTTTTCCCTACACAGTGAACTTGAAGTCAGCCTAGCTTACTTGACACCCAACTTAAGAAAACAAAAACTAAATACTCCAGAGCTTATAGCCTATTGGCAAGAAATTGATATAAAACCTAATCAAAGAATAGCAAATAAGAAGTGTGGATATAGTAGTGGTTATAAAGGCAATGACAGAGAAAATCTCACTTAGTAGACATCACTTGAGAAATCACTTACAGGAAGCAAGGAAAGCAATCAGGTATCAGGGTAATGTTATCCATGTGCAAAGAATAAATGGGAACAAGGAAGCCTGTGTAGTCTGTGCAGTAAAGCAGGGAAGGGGGCTAGATCTGCAAGTGGTAATCACACATATATTCAGCTCAAACTGAGATACTTATAAGGGAAAGGAGGTTTCAGAATTAATTCAATGTATTTAATTTAATACATTTAAATTTTTAAAGAGGGGACAGAAGATGGAGGGAGGGAAGAAGGGAGGGAGTTAGGAAGAGAGAGACAGACTGTAATCTAGTTCAGAACTCAAGCTCCTATCTCATCTTCATTAGTACTGATATTGCAAATATATGTTTCATAGTTTCCTAATGAAGTAAAATCCCTAGCAAACAACTTGGTTGTATTGTATTGGTAGACCTATAACATCATTCTAATCAAAGTCAGGGTGTGGTGGCTCACGCCTTTATGCCTTAATCACAGCACTTGAAAAACTGAGGCAAATAGCAAGCTTGCAGCCAGTCTTTAGTGTTGTGGTTGTTGTTATTATTATTATTATTATTATACATCGTAAACAACATAAGAAAACAATTACTCTCAACATATAGTCACTTGCTTTAATTGGGTAACTTGGCTATTATTGGCTCTAACATTTTGATTTAGGAATTTTCCTTTAAAATGTTGATTTTTTTAAAAAAACAAAATATGTAGCGCTGTCACTTTTGAATTCATGTTTTCCAAAGCTGCATTTTAGGTTTGTGGATTAGAGACTGCTGTTCCCTTTAACTTGGGCTTTTCTCTGGGGCATAGTGTAGAGATGTCATCTTTCTAATGCTGATGAAGCTGAACATTCAGGGCACATTCTGTTCTGTGGAGCAAGTTCTAAATTCTGTTTTCTCTACTAAAATGTGTAAAGACATTCAGGAAAATACCTTTTAATTAATTTTATTAGTACATAAAATAATGGAGTTCACTAGGACATTTTCATACATGAATATTAATGTACTATGATTATATTTGCCTTCCCACCACCCTCCTTGTGTCCCCTTCACCCTCCCTCTGGTCAATTCCACTCCACAAATCTGTCTTTTGTCTTTAAATCATGTATAGAATACATCAGTGATATAAATGATGTAAAATGCAGTATTTGTTTTCTTTCCATCCCATTACCTCTCTTGTATTCTTGCCCGCCCTCAGGCTTTCTCCCTTCTCCTTTGTCCAAGACAATATTCCCATGTGTCTTTGCTTAGCCACCTCTATTCACAGCATCTTTCTCCATTAATATTCTAATAATACCATGAAGTTGTCTCTATTTGTGATTCTTTTTAATGTATTTTGTAAGGGATGGGTAAGACCAAAATCATTGTCTTCCATTATACTATTACCTGTTGGTTTATAAATTTATCCAAGAATATAAAGCCAATAATCTATCAAAGTCAAGATGTTTTAGAATCACATTTTCAAATTAAACAATTGAGCCACATGAGCTCTCATATCTTGGTATAAGCTAGGGGAAAATGGAGCTGCTTCCTTGTCTTAAACTCAATTAAACATGATTGCAGATTGTTAAGAAGCACGTTTTCCTTTTATATTGATTGAATAATCTGATTACAGCTCTCCAGCTGATTTTGCACACAGTGCACCTTATGCCTTATGAAATAAGGGTGGGATATTATAAACCCAGAGAGCATTCCCAACATATCTAGATAATTAATATAGCTGTAGATGTTGCTTTGAATTTCTTGTCACTCCTAGGAAAAAATGACTAGCATGACATTTGCCAGTCTTGACAATTTTGGTCGTAATAGCAGAATGCTGTTATTTGTTTGGATGAAGTCAAGAATTCTGTGCACTTCACAAGGTCCAAATTCATTTCTGCTCTGTTGGATTTAAACTGGTAAGAACATATTACCATGATGCTGTGTTCTACTAACAGTCTGTTTTCTTATTCTTACCAGAAGATTTTGCTGTCTTCAATAATTTTTCAACTCACTGGACTGACATTAGTAATGTTGCTTGTTTTATTTTTAACAGGAAAATTAACTTCCAGAGTTTTATTTTGATGCTGTACGTTGAGTGAAAAATAAATCAAAGAGCTGATAATGCTCTAATTTTCTAACCAACACCTCTAATGACAGTGACTCAAGACTGAAATTTTTGATGGTTTTCAAAGATAATCTACCCCATCCACTTTACTTATAAGCAGATGAAAATGTAAAACTGAAAACAAGCAAAAAATGTTTACAAGAGTGGTATGCTAGAAGTGGAAATGTGTATTTCACAGTGATCTGCAAATATATTTCCTGTAGCTGTGCATGGTTTGTCATCTTCAGAAACGTGCTTCAAAAATTAAGTATTAAATCTAAAGTACATGCTAATTCTTCTTCACTTTTTTTGTGTCTCCTAATATTTAGAAGAATAGTAACAGCTCTACTCCATTCCCACAGTGACTGGAAAACATCAAAAAATGTTTTTTACAAATTACACAGTCCTCATAACTGCTTTGAGAAAATAAAACCTAATGATTTTGTTTCTGCTCTGTTTTAAGCCAAGTGACAAACGAGTAATATTAAGATTTCTTAAGTGCTAACAAAAATAAAACACTGAGGAATTTACACATACAAAATGCTTGAATAATGTTTACAATATAGTATTTGTGATGACAGAATACTAAATCCTATTTCCTGAACATCAACTTTATGTCACTAACCATGATCCCCTTATTATTTACTGTACCCAGATGTTCCATGTATACATCACATGGACCACAGCAGGATATGACTGGCAGCATACCAAGTGGTCAGCGGGTTTCTTCTGCTACCACCTAAACCACAGAAGTTAGCTTATGTTTGCACGCTCAGACTTCATAGTCATCTCCCTGAATACTGCCATGAAAGGGTGACATTACTGAGGTTTTGTCCGAACAAGATCAGAAAGAGTCATTATTAGTCACCTTTTGGTATTAGTCATAATCATATTAATATGCTAATGCAAATACTAATAATAAAACTTCAAAATCAACTGAAAATGTTACATCAAAGGAAATTAATGAGAAGTCAGGAAAATAAGCAAAAGCTAAGGTCTATTGCAGGCAAACAAAGATGTGGTCATCCACAAAGATCAGTGCCAACATTGTGGCTTTTACTGCAAATGATAGGAAACCACTGCCATAGTGAGGGTACAAGAATGTCATGGTCTCTCTTAAGACAAGGCTCTATGAGGCTCCTATGAAATAATAAAGTGCAAGTGTCTATGCAGGAGAACATTAGGATGCTATGGCTGTAGTTTAAGACTTTGAGCAAACAAACACTCTCTAGTAAAGAGTCAGATAAGCAGTCTCAAGAGAAGTTGGAAACTACCTATTCCTGCATTCAAATTCCAGTTCTGGGATGCACATTCTATATGAGTACCCAAGAAGGAATCAGAACATTATAGTTTATAAATACCAGCTATGAAGAACATCCACTCAGTGTCTCTTATACTAATTGCATTCTCATTAAGTAAGCATTATTTATAATAAAGCTTTGTGCATACTGATCCAAAGGAAGAGAATACACACCTCAGCAAATACAAACTTGATAGCTTTAACGCTTAATCATGAATTAAAACACCAGATTTCTGGGCTTTAAAATAAATTATTTCTGGAAGATTTAGTTTCTTCATGGTGCCTGCTAAGAGCTTCACTATCTAGCTAGATGAAAACAATTTCTGAATCTATCCAGCAGAAAAGATCAATGAAGTAACTGCTGTAAGTCACTCCCAAAGATTTGTCTAAACTACCCAGTGATCTCTGATCTTACTGGGTGTGACTGTAGTCACACTGTAACATGGCAGTTCTGGTAGCCAGGAAGCAACATAACAATAACCAGCATGAATGAGGCAATATTACGCTACTGTACCTTTACTAAAAGAAAAAAAATTCAAAGACATATTCTATGGTCATTTTCTCGATTCTCCTCTTTCCAAAAGCAACTATCTTTAAATTAATACTAAACTGATACTTTCTTCTATCCTGAATATATGTGTCTCCTTTAATATAAGTGGGATACAATTAACTTTCAGAAGTGCAATCAAATATTGTCTACAATACTACAAAAGATGAAATGTTACCTTCAAGGGACTTGTGTGACTCTGAGATGACAAGGTTTTTGGACTTTCGGGAAGCTTGCTCTCCTGTTTGGATTGCTGATCTGGGTGACAAGAAACAGGCTTTGCATATGCATCACTGTCCTGGAGGGTAGAACGTTCCAGTTCCTCCAATAATGCATCTATATCACAAGAAACAAAGGGAGCATAATGTAGAATTTGTGAGTCTCCAGAATTATTTTCTTCTTAAATACTCTCTTCTTGTTTTGGATGATAACAATTTGTAAATCCCTCCCTCCCTCCATACCTGACTTCAGGAGTGTGACATGTCTGAGGAGATTACATTAGGGTCTGTTTGATATTTCCTATAACTGCATTCAATTTCATAGACTCTCTACAACTTAACTTCTAGGTATTGGTTTTTAACCACTTGGGTAGATCACACACACACACAAATACGCACACCAAAAAAAAAAAAAAGAACAACTATGTATTTCATATTAGAAAAAATAAGGTTTTTCAAAATATACCAAGAGGCAAGCATTCTTTTTCTTTTATACACTCATACAATATATCCCAAGTACAGTAGGGAGACAAAACATTAATCCTGATTTTATTTAGTCTAATATTTCAAAGATTAGCCCAAGAATATAACAACAACAACCAAAAACTGTTAAGTATTACCGGGTTTTTGGTGGTGGTGGTGGTTTGTTTGTTTGGATGCAACAGGAGAAAGAGGTTGGGGAAACAAACAGAAACTAAAGCATTGCACAATCAAGGAAGATGTAGCAATCCAAATAATTGAGACTTCTTTTGCAGTTTTCTTGGGAAAATGTCAATAGACTTTATAAGCATTTTGCTAGTACCTTCTTGTTGCAATGTCATTAATCATAACAATTAATGAAAATTAGCCAATGCCAATTACAGTGTATGAAAAGTATTATCCTAACACTTTGAGATGGAGGACATTACTGTTCTCATTTCATATCCAGGAAAGAGAGAGTGTAGCTCTCCCAGGCTCTTGAGCACATGAGCAGAACTCCAAGGGGAGCTATATGAGCGCCACCTCAACAACGTCAATGTTGTAAACTTTTAAGTTGAAGTTGCCATCATCATTAGATCGACTGAGTCATCTTAAGCACAGCATGTTCTCTGAAGGTCCTTTCTTCATCTACATAATCAAGCAATTGGATAGAAGAGTATTTTTCAAGTTGCAAGTCAAGATATTTTAGTGCCTTTTTTAGAACTTTAGGGGATTTTAAAAATACATTAGCTTTTATAAACTTGCAAAGCACTAGATTGTGGGGTTTCTAGGGACCTGCCTAGTTCTGAAATTCTCATATCAAGAAAATGACCTTAACGTGCCATAAAAAAAAATGTTCTTCATATTTAGAGAGAACGGGGTTTTAATCTATCTAGTTTTTAAGAGAGGCTGTCATAAAGCAACTTGGCCTGCAAATCACTCAGTGATCTAGGCTGGCCTAAAATTTATGATCTTCCTGCCTCCACTTCCTGGGTGTTGAGATTACATGAGTGTGCCACCATGAGCAGCTCAAAAGCTGCCTTACCCACGCTGTCTTCTCTCTTTACAATGCTGAACCAGGAACTTACCTATACTAGACCAAAGTAAGTTAATGTGCCACTAAGCCACATCCCCAGATTAAGGATCAGTATTTCTCAATATTATAAGAAAGATGTAATCAGTTTTCACAAAAGAACTATTCTGTAGAACTTTCTCAATCATTTATATCTCAAAATTTTGACCTTTAGTACACTATTTCAGAAATAACCGAACTGAGCCAGGTGGTGGTGGTGAACGCCTTTAATCCCAGCACTTGGAGACAGAACAGCAGGTAGATCTCTGTGAGTTTGAGGTCAGCCTGGTGTACAAGAAAAACCCTGTCTTGAAGAACCAAAAAAAAAAAAGAAAGAAAAAAAGAAGGAACGAACGAACGAACGAACGAACGAACTGAACTGGACTAGCTAATCTATTTAGGCCAGACTGTTCTTCAACAAATAAACTAACAAGAGGAAAAAAAAAAAAAAAAGACAGCAGAGATACATATATAATAAAAGAGACCAAGGAGACATGTAACTAATTTTAATTTAAGTCATAACTTTAATTTAAAAATTAGATCAATCAATAATACTGATTGATAGTATTTGTGTGAGATTTTGCCAAACTTGTGATCAAAGCTTAAAGGCAAGTGCAAAAATAAATCCTCTTTGGCAATTCAGAATTCAGTACTCAGCATGAGTTTTACATGCATAAGACAGATGATCAAAAAAAATGAAATTTAAAAAATTTAAAAAACATTTAACACTGCATAGCCAATAATATTAAATGCTAGCATTTTAGGAATGTGAAATAACATTAAAGTGACTTCAATTAATTTTAGGTGTGATTATGTTATTTCATGATATTGAGGAACCAACATGAAGATTATTAGCTATTGTGGGTGTGGTACTGTTAATATGGTTGTTTCTATAAATATATACATTTTTATGTAGTATATTAAGGCTGAAATATTTACAGATAAGAAATTTAATGTTTGAAATTTCCTGAAAATGATGTGAAATAAGATTGTCAAGAGCTAATGATTGTTGAAACTAAGAAGGCTTAGATTTCATTAAAATATTTTCTTTATTTCTGTATATTTTTAAATTCTTTACAATGAAAGGGTTTAAGAAAACAAAACTACAAAGCAAAAGTTTTATCTTAATTTTATTAGCCAGACTGAACTCTGGATTTCAGAATTCCAATATTTTATTCTCTATCTGTTAAAACAGAATCATTCTCTTTTCTATTTTCTAAGCTTTGATCTAATCAAAATTCAAAGGCCTTCCTGGATTAATAGAATCAATCTATACTAAAGAGTATGAGACAGGAGTGTCATTCAGCAAAAAATATGAAGTAATCTTTAGAAGCATCTGCTCGCCGAATCTATTAAAACTCTCCTCTCAGCTCCTGAGTTAACAGGAGTCTCACTTCCTATTTCCAATGAATGCACATTTCACCAATATCCTGAGTCTACTCTTTCTGCTTCGTGCAGATTCTACAGTTTAAATTGGATGACTAATTTTGGTGTGACTAATATAAGATACTGGGGCGAGTGAAATGGACTGAAAACTGCAGCTCATCTTCCTAGTCCTTGACCTGTGGAGTTAAATATCAACTTTCACCCACAAGTGAAGTCGTCTGTGGGTCTCCACAGGTTATAATGATCTCATCCCTAAATTGCAAAGATTTAGGTAAAACCTAGGTGAAGGCATGCTACTAACATCCAAAGCAGTACTGGAGAGAGAGATTTGCCCACCTGAGTCAACCTGTCCTTGATACAATTTCTATAGAAGTAGAAAGAAAACTCCACCCCAAATCTTTGGGGGTAGCTAGTTTGTTAAGGCAGGATCTTGCTCTAGTCCAAGCAAACCTGAAACTAGCTCCAGCCCAGGTTGGTCTCAAACTCTGGGCAGTCTTCCGACCTAACCTCCCCAGTGCTCGGATCACAGGTGTAAGCTCTTGTGCTTGGCAGATACTTTCTGCCTTGTGTTTTGTTGGTTTTTTGAGACAGGGTGTCACTATATAGCCCTAGCTGACCCAGAACTTACAATGGAAACCAGTCTAGCCTCAAATTCATAGAAATCTAACTGCTTCTGCTTCCCATGTTTGGCTTTTTGAGATAGGCTCTTACATAGTCTAGGCTGGACTCAAATTTTCTAATAGCCAAAAATTGCCTTAAGCTTCTGAGCTTCTTGCTTCCACCTCTGAGCTGGGATTCCAGGGAGGCAGCGCCACACGCCATGCAGATGGTGACATTTTGAAGAGACTGCTGATGTGTGGCCATCAGCCGTCCATTGACTTGTAGCTAACTGGATCACCTACACAGTTGGCTTTCAAAACCGCATACTTTCTACATTTACATTTAGATTTCCCTAAACAGCGATTGTCCTCAGAATACAGAAAAGTATACTTTAAAAAATGTTATTACTCCATTGGCTACCAAGGCAAACACACTTCTAACATAGGAGAACAACTCATAAAAAGGAGAAAAAAGTAATACTTATATTAACATATTTTGTTTTCCTGTATTAGTTCTTTTAACTTTTTGAATTAAATTTGAGTAAAATTTAATATCCATAAAACAAAGCAAAATAAGATCCTCTCTGAAAACAAAATGGTAAAACTCCATGGAGAAATGAAAATTCCCTCAATACCCACACAAGATATGCTTGCGGCAAATTCTCAGAGAATAAATAACCAATATTATATAGAAAAAGAATCTGGATTCTACACCAAAGCCCAAAGTATAGCTTTTACCACAGTCTCAAAATACACTTTCTTGCCAAAAAAAAATTCAGCATTTACTAAACATCCCTTTTTCCATAATTAATTTCTCTATCCTTCTTCCTTTCTCTGTTTCTCTAGCCTTAAAAGTATAATCTAAATAATTCTTTATAAGCTAAATGTACACGCTATGAATTTTGTTATTGTTGGCAGTTTTTAACAAAGCTACAAACACACAATGTTGAATAAATATAGCTTGAAAAGAGATGATGTTAAGGATGCTGTAAATAAAAAGTGAATGAATGAATATTGCCAAAGTGTATGACATGAATCCCAAGGAGGCAGATTTACAGTTCCAAAGCTTTGAAATCTGTGATTTCTCTGGGCATGGTTAGCTGTTGACACTTTCACCATTGTTTTCATGACCTAAGAGTTGAAAAAAATGACTGCATTTCTGGCCAAATAATCTGCTCCTTCAAGATTTCTCTAAACAAAAGGCCAACAAGAGCCACTACAGTGCGGATACCTCTGTCGTCTAAACTATAGAGAAATGAAAGCGTTCCGGCCTTTCTGCAGCCTCTACAGACCCTTTCCTCCGCACTGTTATCTTATTGCTCTTCCCCTATACTCTCCCATTTTCTTCTTTGTCCTTTCCCTCCTTCTCTTCACTTAGTCCCTCTTCCTTGCCCAATTTTGTTTCCTTTTTCTTCCAAAATCATATTTTCACAATCACCTAGCTCTGGAACCACGCTATGATCTCCAGTAGCTGCCAAGAGGGGAAGCACTTTCAATTACTTTTCCTTCTAAAAGTGCTTCTCTGGGCGTCTGTTCTGTGGTTAGCTCTCAACTATCTGCCTCTGCAAGCAGAGACCCCATAGTTCCCCCAACAATCAGAGTTCCTCCTGCCTCATGCTTCTTCGAACTGAGGACAGAAGTGAAAACAAATCTTTTAACACTGTCCTCAGTTCAGCTAGAACACACCTCATCACACTTGGGGATGGATGAGAACCAAGCCCACACTTCCTTAGAGCATCTTCAAAAGCCCCTCACTCACCCAGCTCTTCCATTGTCTTACACCCACTGCCGGCGCTCTAGCCCTGAAGACTGTGAACTGCTTCAGCGTGTGGTGATGAAGGGGACCACAACGGAACTGAAGAAGCCAGGGCAAAGCAGCTTCTATGACCCTTTTTGGTTCCTGTATTTGCTTAGCACTTCCTCACTTTTGATTTGTCAAATTTTTTCTTTTCTTTTCTATTAGCTCAGTTTTTTAAAATAGTGCTGACAGAGAAAGGCAGGTTGTGCAAGACTGAGGTTTTGATGCTACATTGGTCAGGGTGGTTATAGAGACTTTAAGTTGATGTTTCAAACTTTACAACACATACCACATACAAGGCCTTACTTTTTCCAAGTCCAAGTATCCCACTACCCACTGCCAACAACCCCCCCCCCAAAACTAAAGGACCGTTAAGGAAGCATGGCTCCTTCCTTAAAATTTTTGATTAGACAGCACCAACTGCATTTCACGTTCTCTATTTTCTTATTCAGAAGTCATGAATTATAAGTTGTAACTGCTGTATGTATGTGCTTAAATCTTAAACGCTTACATGTATTTAACTCTCAAACTGTAATTTTAAAACTTTTTAAAATTACATTTGTGTGAGTGCAAGTGTGTGTGTGTGTGTGTGTGTGTCTGTTGACACTCATGAGTTGTGGGAATCAATTTTTTCCTTCTACCACCTGAGTCCCACAGACCAAACTCATCAGACTTGTCAGCAAAGTGCCCTCATTGGCTGAGCAATCCACCAGCTCAGATTACAAATTCTTTAAAGTTGAACAGAAGCTGGTTCACTTTTGAGTTCTCTAGTACTGGATTATATAGTCACTCAAAATGCAAACATCTACAGGCGAAGGAAGAATCAACCCAGAAGATTTAAGATACTAGATACTAAAATCTGAATTATCCAAAATCCCAGTTCAGTTCACATAGCCTTGTAACAATTTCTTCAAAAAATGAGCCAGGTCAACTTTTCATTTTATCCCTGTGTCTTAGTTCATCTCAAAAGGAAGAAAGCACTTAAAACAGGCCCACCTTGAGAAGACAGTACATAAAGAACTATAATTATGGTCCTGTGAAGTAGGTTTTGTCCTGGTTTCACCAGTAGTGAAACAGGCACAAGGAATAGTAACTGGCTAAAAGAACAGAATAAAGTGATAGATAGCCTTGCTACTTGTTATATAAACCGGTTTGAACTCAGTATGTTCTCTTTCATCTACAGTACAGTGAGCATTTCTTAAAGGAATGTCAGTCGTTCTACCTCTTTTCAAGAGGCTTGTTTTTTGTATTTTTTGTATAAGCAGCCATTGGATGTCAGTGTTGTTCCAAACGTGCTCATCGCAAATACAGCTTGAAAATGCGTTCTTACTCAATACTGTCCATTTTTACGACAGAAAATGACACTAGGCCTTTGAAAGAGTCAAAGACTCCATACAGACTATAAAACATTTGCTTTATCTGTGTGGCAAGTGGGCCAAATGCTGGAAAGGACAATGGATTTTACTGCATGTTTGCCGTTTAATGACTAAAGGAAAAATCGGAATTCCAACTCCAAACTTTGTATCTTCATCGTCTTGTGAAGACTTTAACTGGGTATGTTTCCCATTTGCAAGAGTCCCCTCAAGTTGTTCTCCGATTACAATGTATAAAAAGGAAACTAAGGACTGCAAACAATGTATAAAAGGGAAAGAAATGCCGACACAATGTCTGAGAGGGAAACCAACACAAGAGGCCGAAGAATCCCCAGCTGCGGTTTAACAAATGGAAACCCCCTTCCCGCCCCCCTTTACCCATCAGGAAGGTACTTAGTTGCACACGCTAGACAAAACCAGCTATTCTGACTCCGCTTCCTGTGCTGCAGAAACATCTACAAACCGCAAAGGCGTGCAGCGTTGAGGCGGAGAACACGACAGACCACCAGCTTCTCCGCATAAATCACTGGGAGTCACGCTAACCCTCTCTCTCCAGCTCAAGGACCACAGCCAGCGCCAGTCCGTGCTGCCCAGTTCCTACTAGGAAACAACCTTCCAATTCGTCCCTAGGTGGTTTATTGAAATTCAAGTGGCAGAAGCCGAACGTCCCTGACCTCCAGGGTCTCAGGGCTGAGAGGGTCAACGCAAGATGGAGGAATGACCGCAGGTCGCAGAGGAGACGAAGTAGGGACTGTGACGAGGGCACTTCGAAGAGCTTACACAGACGTCAGTTTAACAGAGTGAAGGAGACTGCCCTCTCCGGAAACCCTAGCCAGTAATTGACTCAATATTTGTGCCAGCTGTACGCAGGCGTTGAGGCCTGGCCCGGAAGCAGTGCCTCTCTGGGACGGAAAACGTAAACTCTCCGGAGTGTGACTAGCAAACTACGTTTCCCGTGGTGAATCGTGCAAAAACTCCCAGACTTCCCTCGGCCTCTAGTTTCCTCTCTTTTCCCTGGAAGCACGGACGAACGAGGACTTCGTCTCCCAGGATGCCGCGGGCTAAGTTAGCCCTGCGCACGCGCGGCCCGACTATCCCGCGCTGTTCCCTTAACCCCGCCTCTAGCCTACCGCCGCCATTTTTTCAGAGACTTTCATCCGGCAACGGACGGGGCCTTTTTTTCTTAAAGGAGAAGCGGCAACTCAAATAATTTACCCCTTCTCCCCGCGAGAGCCGGCGGCGCAGGGGACAGAAAGGCCAGAGCAGGAAGGTGGGGGTCCTGGTGGAGGCGGGACCACGTCCTGGCCGCTTGTTAGCCTAGCGAGAACCCCTGAGGAGGCAGGGGCGCCTCTGGGGGGCAGGTGCGCGCGCAGCCGCCGGGGGTGGGGGGGGGGATGCGCGCGAAGCGGGCAGAGGTCCGTTTTGTCCTCACCGCGCCCCGCGCCCGCCCTGCCCCTCCCACCGCCCCTAGCTGGGGCTGAACGCCCGGGGCGGGGGAAAGGTCACTTTGGGATTGTCGCGAGACGCAGCCGTTTAACGGTGAGAACGGGCGCGCGGGGAAGGAAACCTCGCGCTCTCCCTCGGAGCCGTTTCCTGATTGGTTGAAGGGAGGGGTGGGGGAGGGCACTGAGTGCGCTACCCTGAGTCCTAGACCGTGAGGGGCGGGGCCCGGAGGCCGATCCTCCTTCCCGATTGGCCCATTGCTTGCCTCTGCGGGTGCGCGCGTGCGCGCCGCCGGCGGTCGCAGGCTTGAGTGGCAGGGGGCGCGGGTGGGGGGGGAGCGCCCTCGGAGGGGTGGGGGGGGGGAAGAGAGGTGCTTGGGAGTGAGAGGGAGCGGGACTCTCCGGGAGCCTAGGGGGGCGGGGGGAGCTGCGCCGCGGGCGCCGCCGCCTCCGCCGCCTGGGACGCAGGGGTGGGGGACGGACGAGCCCCGATGCCGGGGGAGACGGAGGAGCCGCGATCCCCGCAGCAGCAGCAGGACCAGGAAGGGGGCCAGGCAGCAGCGGCCGACGCGGCTTCGGACGAGCCCCGGCCCGGCGTGGCGGCGGCGGCGGCGGCGCCTGCAGGGACCGCGAGCAGCCGCGTTCTGAGGGGAGGTCGGGACCGCGGCCGGGCCGCTGCGGCCGCCGCCGCTGCCGCTGTGTCCCGCCGGAGGAAGGCCGAGTATCCCCGCCGGCGGAGGAGCAGCCCCAGCAACAGGCCTCCCGACGCCCCGGGGCAGCAGCTCGCGGCCGCGAAGCCCCCGTCTCCTGCTCAGGGCAAGAAGAGTCCACGACTCCAGTGAGTAACTGTCTTTGAGGCTTTGGGGAAGACCCCCCTCTGATCCTCGCTACCCTCCCGGCTCCCGTAGCACCCGCTCCACGTGACACCCCGCTTGCTCTGCCCCCTGCCGGCTCGGCACGCCAGATGTCACGCCGCTGGCGGCCGTGCTCCCGCGGCTCCGCAGCCTGTGGCCGGCAGCCCACGCCCGAAGTCACTGCAGGCTGCATGCCCTCTGCCTCCTCAGTCCTCTGGCTTTTGCGCCCCCTTTGTCAGCCTATGGCTTCCAGTCTTCCACAGCCCCGTGAGGAAATCCAACAGCACCATTCTAGCCCTCGAGAGTGTTTTTGCCCGACCTTATTAACTAGCTTGCGAACCACTTAAAAATGTCCCCTTTCTCGTCCCCCTAAATCGTCACGTTCATTTTTGTCCTCAGGATGAAAACTTGCTGTGCCAATTTTACATAACCAAACTAGATGTGTGGTACTTTTTTCTTTATACCTAGATTCTGACGTAGGTACTTCATTCTTAAAATTTGATTGATCCGAATTACTACTTTGAACTAATAGAGGCCCTTAGCAGATGGCCAGGAGCTTAAATATTTTAAATTGATCATTAGAGTTAAAAATAATTAAATACATGAGTTTTATAAGTTACACGTTTTAATCAAATTAGCTATTCATTGTTAGCAATTTTATGGTTTACAAATGGGAAAGGGGGCAGAGAAAATCAAAGGGCAGGGATTTTTTTCCGTTTCAGATAATCAGCAACCTTCCAGTAGAGTACAAATCAAGTAGGGCTTGACTTACCTTGGACTGGGAATATTTATAAAGCTTAAAAACAGTCCTATTTCAAAATTAAATTACAAAATTTCTGATTACAAATTTTTAAACTGAATTAAGAGTTGTAACTGCTGTATGTACGTGCTTACAAAAATCTTAAACGCTTATATGTATTTAACTCACAAACTTGAAAAAATGTAACATTAATTCTAATTGAGCATAAATTTCGTAGACAAATTGTTTATGTGTATCTTGGTTTCTTCATCTTACACCGGGGGAGGGGGGATAACTTTCATGACTTGAGTTTGTGTGTATTAAATACATTGTGGAACCATTTCACACAGTTCCTCACACAGTAAAATACCGAATTCAGTCTGCGGTGTTGAAAAGTGGTGCCCTATCAGAGACAGTACTTTGTACTGGTGTTTTTGAGTCGGTTTTGTAAAGTTGCGTGCTTTTCTATTATCTTACATAAACAAGTATTTTAGATTTTCTTTAACGTGGCACTTGAGAGTAAAGTAACCTGAATCAAGTTAAATTATATGTAGAGTAGTGTCTTACTTTTTCCTGCGTGGTAGAAGTACTGATGGACATTTTGAATCCCACAATATAATTAATTGTGGGAGCAGTTGATCTGGGATGAATATGATTACTTGCTTGCTTGGTTCTTGATCACAGTGTTTGTTGCGGAGGGGAAGAGGCGATCTTAATCTTCTTTCTCATCTAGTACTATACATAGTTAGAATGATCTTTACATTCTTTTGCCTTCAGACTTATCCCTTGGTCGTGTATTTAAGATTATACAATTTTACATTCTTAAAAATGAATTTTCATTTTTATTGCACATTTTACCTATTCAGTGGCTTACACGTCAGAGAATCACAACACAGTTTCAGCTCCGCAGCTCTTGTTTGAAAAGTACCTGGGACTAGCATTCTTACTCCTTTAAGCATTAGAAAATTCAATTAGACCTGGCCTTGTCTTCAAGGACCTTGCTGAGGAAGGGAACGTTGATTAGCACTCATTAAACTCGTGTGCATGGTTTGCAGATGGTCAGTGACATCATTATTTTTGAACTCACTTTTCTATTTAATCCTTTGAGACATGCAGTTTTGAGGGTCGGTGTACTGAACTCTGACCTTAATTAATCTCTTCCAAATGAAATAACATTTAAAAAGGAGATAAGAAATTTAATCTCTCTATTAATTTGTTCTTTTTAGATCTTTCCCTCCCTAGTTACTTTTTCATCCATTTTCCGTATTCCTGCTTTTTTGCCTACAAAATCCTATGGAATTGGGTATTGACCTGTATTTCTTTCTTCCAATTAGAAACAGAAAAATGTACAAAATTGTTTAAAATATCAAAAGCATAGATTTGGATCAACTGAAATGTGTATTACTAAATTATATAGTGGAAAAAAGCTTGGACTTGATGTTCAGACTGTAAATGTGATCTGTCAGCTTTTACTACTCTCTGGCTAAGTGACTCTGAACAAGTCACCACATCTTGAGAGCTGTTCCTCAGGAGCTCTACAGCTGAATAATGGGTTATACTTTCATAAACTTGAATGTATAACAACTTAATTCACATCCAAGTTTTTGAGAATTAAGATAATACAGTTTCAGTGAGTATGTTCTGGAGGGAGGCATAAAGTTAAATGCTAGTTTCATACACAAATTACCTAAATGGCTAGCAGTTAGTAATTTAAATTCAATTTGTACAAAATTTGTGTTCATGTTAAGAATTAGCTCATCGTTCTCTCTGTTTTAGCTGTGATTCTTGTTTTAATTGTGGATATGCTTCAAGAAGCATGTGGTGGTACAATAAGTCTAAGAATATGATTTTTATCCTTTGACTTATTTCTTACGTGTTTTATTTTCCCTTTTTGATGTGTTTCGTTGTTTGTGAGGTTTTCTGCTTGTTTAATTGCTTCCTTGAAGATGGGGCATCACTATGTAGCCCTTGCCTGGAACTTTGTATGTATACCATACTGTACCTCCTTGTGACAGATCTGTCGGTCATCTACTGCTTCTCAAGTGCTTTGATAAAAGTCATGTATCACCCTGCCTGACTTTTCTGTTTTTAATAAATTAAAATATCGATGTGCAAACAGTGAAATCAAATTTTCCTCCTAGGATAGGAGGCAAAATATCTTTATTCTATAACATAAAATTGAATATCTGTGTGTTCCAAATTTTAAAACTCTTTAACAAATAAGTCTTGAAACTTAAAATGTAGTTGTTGCATAGCCTTTTTAAACAAAGCCTTGAATACTTTTGGAAGTCTTTAGGTTCAGATGAGTGACACATGAAGAGAGTTGTTTTACTCTTGGTGTATGGAGTTCAGAGTTCTTTGAGTTATTTTGACAAAAGTAAAATAATAATCTGTACCTTTTTTTTTTTTTGCTGTGTTTGCTTGAAGGGTTGTGGATAGTGAGGTGAATATTCTGAATAGACAAACACAAGTTTTTTGTTTCTAGAAGACTTCAGTTGCACAGCACTGGAATCTTGAGTGGTCAGGATCCTAGGGGGAGGTTAGGATGATGGTAGAAACACTGAACTATTTGAAAAACATCTCAGGCATCCAGCAGGTGTGTTTTTAGTGCTCCATTTACTAAAGTAAAGGTGGTTCACAATACTTGTCAATTGTGAAGTTTATGACAACTGAAGTCATCATAATACTTACGCTTTTAAAAATGAGGCACAATGACAACTCTTCTTTCACAAAACATCTTTTAATTGCATTGAGTTCATTTGCAGCCTTTATGCTGCTAGATACTATGTGGTATCTTTATAATACAAATAGGAAGCCAGTTTACTTCTGAGTTTGGAGAAGAGGTATGAAATTCAAAATACTGCATTTCCAGTTACATGTCTTAGAAGCTATCCCAAATTAAAATCATGGAGGTCACTTTGTATTTTAAGTCGGTAGGCTTATAACTTTTTGAGCTTTTTGCTTTTTGCTTGCATTTACTTTGTGTAATATTTGAGATGTGTACATATTGCCGTTTTAGAAATTTTTATTGGATTCAGTGGTCAAGTTTAGGGACTGTTAAAATTACATTTTGTTAGTAGGATTGTTCAGTAAATACAAACTAGGAAAAGTGGTGTGATAAAACATCAGTATTTATCAGTGGAAGTTACTGGCATCTATCTTACCATCCTTGCTACACCTCCCTACCTACCTTCTGTTTTAGACAGAAGTGTTTTTGAGCACATCTCAGATGTTGTCATTTCAGTACATATAAAATAAGGACA